TTTCTTTCATTTGCTAACATAAAAGGAAGAATGTAAAGGTGGGAAATAAGCCAGCTAAACCCTCAGTTTGATTCTCGAAGAGCTTTCCAAAGAGAAAAAAAATCACTATGTTAAGGAACTACTGTATTTACTGGCTTACATATTTCGACAAGAAAAGAAACCCACAAAAGAGTGTTTTCTTTCTAAAGGATTTATCTTGCTACCTAATGACAAAAGTTATAATTCAATATCCAATTAAGTTTCAGAGTTTCTTATCTTTTTAAAAGTACATTTCACTGAAAATTTTAACAAGTTATGTTTTGTTTTGTTTTTACATCTAGGAATGGTGCTATCACTAATTCCCACCTGGGACATTTAACCTAGAATATGTGAAGGAATGTAGTCAACTGGTGGACTGTGCAGCAGTCTCTCTTCAGTAAACTTTTGTTTTGCATTTCCTTTCTCCAGGATAAAGCAATACAGTCTCATATTCCCTGATCTACTGCTAAGGAAACACAATTATATTATAAATTCAAAGAACATTCAGATTCTCTGCTTCAGCTTGTTTCAGAGATTGTAGGGCAGGCATGGGCAAGCTTTGGCCCTCCAGGTGTTGTGGACTTCAACTCCCACAATTCCTAACTTACTTACTTAAGCGATCCCTCATTGTTCAAGTATGATGCAGTGTCTTGGAGGTGGGTACGTAGGTGACTGTGTGTTTTTCCACAGTGAGGACTGTTTCCAGGTGGAAGGCTTGATGCGCCTTCCTCTTGACACGTTTCTCCCTTTCGCTCTCCATTCATGCCTCTTCAAATTCCACAGCACTGCTGATCACAGCTGACCTCTAGTTAGAGTGCTCAAGGGCCAGGGCTTCCCATCTCAGTGTCTATGCCACAGTTTTGAAGATTGGCCTTAACCCCATATTTGAATCTATTTTCCTGTCCATCAACATTCTGTTTTCCATTCTTGAGCTGGGAGTACAGTAACTGCTTTGTGAGATGGTGATTGGGCATTCGGACAATGTGACCAGTCCAGCAGAGTTGATGGCGTAGGAGCATCGCTTCAATGCTGGTGGTCTTTGCTTCTTCCAGCACACTTTCAGTTCCTAACACCTACTGGCCATTAGGAGTTATGGGAGTTGAAGTCCAAAAAGTCTGGATGGCTGAAGTTTGCCCATGCCTGATATAAAGGCTTCAAAATACTAACTTATTCCAAGCTCCTGAGGTCTCAATGATTACAAATAAATGATTATGATAAAATAATTTAGATTACAATGAACACAGTGGTGGTGTGCTTTAACTGTCTCTGAAGCAGTGAGTCGCTTATTTTTAAAAGCACTTCTGAGATTTCAGCCCTTTCCCCACAATTTCTCCCCGCCAATAACAGGCCTCTGAGGCATCTGGAATCTCTTATAACAGAGACTTCCCAACCTTTATGGCTATATTGGAGATTTTAAATAACTTTCTATGAAGAACCATCACAAAATGGCTGCGATGGAAGTGTGAAAAATCACAATATTTACTATCACAATATTTATTCCCTAGGAGGCTGACTAGAGAGGCTAGAAGTCAACTTGCTAAAAGAAATTGAGTAAAAGGCTGAGAAGGTGAAGTGCGATTTCCAAAAGAACTACTGCCTTAAACAAACAGAACATCTCTCAGCTGAAATGGGTATTCCAATTAATTTTCTTAAATTATATCTAAATTAATTCTCCTAAAATTTAAAACTCTGCCATCCTCTTTCTCCTTGGATCCTTGCTCCTCTGGCCTAGAATTTGAACTAGATTGATATCCCAAGTTTAACTGACAACTGAGAGTCCCCAGGTAGTGCAGCAGGTTCAACCACTAGTCTGCTGTACTTGCTGACCAAAAGTCAGTGGTTCGAATCCGGGGAGCAGGGTGAGTTCCCAATGTTAGCCCCAACTTAGCAAATGTGAGTAGATCAATAGGTACAGCTTTTGCGGGAAGGTAACAGTGCTCCATGCAGTCATGTTGGCCACATGAACTTGGAGGTGTCTATGGACAACACTGGCTCTTTGGCTTTTCAATTGAGATGAACACCAACCTCCAGAGTTGGACACGTCAGGGGAAAACCTTTACCTTTACCTTCTAGTTAAAGTAGTGATCTCCCTGGACAAGTTCCATTAGCCATAGATTGATGGATGGATGGATGGATAGATACGAGTGATAGATAGACAGATAGACAGATAGACAGATAGACAGATAGTCAGATAGATAGATAGATAGATAGATAGATAGATAGATAGATAGATAGATAGATAGACAGACAGACAGATAGATAGATATGAGCACCAACCCCCAGAGTCAGACTCAACTATACTTAATGTCAAGGGGAAACCTTTACCTTTAACTGTTAAACTTTTCTGGGATTTCTAGAATTGTTAGTTCGGGGGAATAACTTCAGAACAAGACTAACAGAGTTAGCAGCATCTACCCAATATATTTTAAGCTTCTCTGAGACCGAGAGGTATGTTATCAAATCAATAGGCGAACAGTAATATGGCAGGGAGTTGCAGAGGAGGCTTTATACTGCCAGTGTTACTCCCAGCCATTACTAGTCTGAAAGCCAATTATTTAAGAAAGCTACTTAATGGTTTGCCTGTCATGGTTTAGCATGATCAAAAAAGATAAGCTAACCTAGGCAATGTGTGCCTGTGGCATGTGTCATTTCTCTCATCTACCTGACTGCTATTTTGCGGAGCTACTGGGGAAAGTGAAGGAAGCATCATAACCTTTATGCATCACTAACATATTGTACAGACTTATTATATCCACATGCTAATCTCAGAACTAGATTACGTGGGAAGCAGGACACCTCATTACATAACTCATGTTATTTAAGTGCATTGTGAAAAACTAAAATAATGGACTAGAATAAAACACAATAAAATAGAAAGCAACTTCATAAGAAAAGGGATAAAGACAAATATACATCAAAGATCTAAACGTCTTTTTTTAAAGTATGTTTTTCAGGCCAGTCTCTTTAGGTAAGGTAAAGTTTTTCCCATGACATTAAGTCCAGCCGTGCCAGACTCTGGGAATTGGTGCTCATCTCCATTTCTAAGTTGAAGAGATGGCGTTGTCCATATTTATTTACCATATTTGTATACCGCCCTTCTCAGCCTGAAGGCGACTCAGGGCAGTGTTGTCCATAGATGCCATAGATAACATGTGGATGGCGTGAATGCATGGAGCGCCGTTACCTTCCCAATGAAGTGGTACTTATGGATCTCCTCACATTTCTAAGTTTTCAGACTGCTAGGTTGGCAGAAGCTGTGGCTAACAGCAGAAGCTCACCCCACTCCCAGGATTCGAACTGCCAAACTTCAATCAGCAAGTTCTGCAGCTTACTGCTGCGCAACTGTGACCCTTAACCCTAAAAGTGGTTGCTTGTTTTTAATTTCTTCTTGCATCAGGTAATACTTGACACCTCCAAGGTCATGTGGCTGGCATGACTGAATGGAGCACTGTTATCTTCCTGCCGGAGCGATATCTATTAATCTATTCATATTTGCATGTTTTCGAACTGCTAGGTTGGCAGAAGCTGGGGCTAACAGTGGCAGCTCACCCCGCTCCCCGGAATTGAACCGGTGACCTTTTGATCACCAAGTTCAGCAGTTTAACCCAATGCACCACTGGGGAGAACATTTTATAAGTAGTCCACCACAATTGAGGAAGTACTTTTTCTGGTCACCATCTACCCAACATCCTCCAGAGAGGGTATCTTGTGAATAATACTGCAGTAATTTAAGGTTGTAAATTACACAACATCCTCCAGGTAGGGTGTCTTGTGAATAACACTACAGTAATTTAAGATTGTAAATAAAAACATATAGGATGAAACAGTCTTTGAGATTCTTTACCAGGCAAACAAGCCATTATAACACCCCCACAAAATTGAGTCCTGTTGATATAAGTGTCATGGAGCAAAGCAGGAATTTCACAGCACTGCCATCTAGAAATGACTATCCAAGCACAACAGGACTGTGATCTCAACTCAGAGTGCTAATCCCAAAAGATTTAGTGAAATCCACTAGGTTTTATCAGTCCCACCCCCGTCTCTCTCCCACTTCCACCTCTGCCCTTCCCCATAAAAAAATTTCTGTTCCAAACATGAGCTTAAAGCTATATTAAAATGGATTGAAAAATCAACTTCACCAATGAGTACAGGCAGTCCCTAGGATAAGGACATGAGAGATTCTGTAGGTTTGTTCTTATGTATGTAAATCTGAAAAGATATATTTTTGTGTGTGTGCATATGTGTATGCACACAAATAATCTGCTCCCCTTTTATCTCACCCTGAGTTTTTAGCATTTTACCTTGCACATGCGGCCCACTCATTGTCACTGTGATTGTGAATGATTTGATACTGTATTTTTATATTGTTTACTGTATTCATATGTGTTATTTTTTTTACTGTGTTGTTGTTTTTGTTTTTATTTTAATGTAATTTGCTGTTGGGCTTGGCCTCATGTAAGCCACCCCGAGTCTCCATTGGGAAGATGGTGGCGGGGTATAAATAAAGTATTATTATTATTATTATTATTATTATTATTATTATGTGTGTATGCATACATAGATACATACACACACACGTTTTGGATAGCATAGGGAAGGATAAACACCTCTGTGGTGTTCACTTTGCTGTCTGTGCCCCGGATCACTTTCTGTCCCTGTGATAATGGATTTTGAAAAAATGATGAATATGAACCAAACTTGGCACAATTACACAATATGCCCAAATGTGAACACTGGTGGAGTTTGGGGGAAAATAGACCTTGATATTTGGGAGTTGTAGTTGCTGAGCTTTATAGTTCACTTACATAGAGCATTCCGAACCCCACCAACCATAGAATTAGGCCAAACTTCCTACACGAAACCCCCATAGTGTGTTTTCTGATGGCCTTTAGCAACCCCTCTGACACCCCTTTGCAACCCCAAGGTTGAGAAACACTGCTCTGTATGATTATGTATGATATAAAATTGAAAGGAAATCTTACTTGAATCTCGACTACTGTATGGCCATCCAGAGGCAGACAGAAAAGGTGGGACTGGAGAGTTTGTCCCGCTCTCATCTCCCAGTTGCTGTGTAATATGCCGCACAGTATCCTTATTTTTCCTGTTCTTTCTGCGCCCTGTGGGCTGCCACCCATCCATTGCACTCTGTTCCGAGAAAGCATTCTGCATTGCACTTTCTTTGGTGGACTGGAGCTCATTCCTTCCACAATGGGACGGAGAGATCTGCTCTTCTTTGATACGTAATGATCCATAGCCTAGGTCACTTGACCAAATAGACTGGGAAGAAATGTCATCGTGATTATCTGGTTTTGGTTCTTGATCTTCTTTTCCGTATGTGCTCCCTCCTTCATGACAGCTAGCAATGGCTGAATCACCTGAGGAGTTTGTGGGGCTTGTCCGCCGCGCTAGCCAGGGAGATATGCTCCTACCGGCTACGACTGCTGAAATCAAGGCATCTGTACTACTGCTGGATGAAGCCCCAAGTTCATAATCGATAAGATCATCTGATGCATCAGATTTTATACTAATGTCAAGAGCAGCCTTTATAAAATTATGACAGGCTTGGACAATCTCAGTCATCTGGAGATAGCTAGCAGCTGACATCACCTCAATAACATTCCTGCTGGTCAGTGCAAGGTGTGCGGAGTACATGAAATCAATGATTGCTTTAAAGCCCTGTGCCGTTACAATGTCTAAATGAGTGACGGTTGCCTGCTCAGAGGTCTTCTGCACCTGGCAGTACAGTGTCTTGAAGTACCGGCTGCTCCCAAGTAAAATGTTTTTATGAGCCTTGAAGATTTTTCCCTCCACGATAATACAAACATCACAGAGGATACCGTGCTGCCTTTGTTCATCGAGTTCTTGAAGCAGATGACGGTAGTGGGAGGCAATCTCCATATCTTCCTTTCGATTGTTCATTTGCACGACTATGTCTGTACCACTCTGTGAGGGAAAAGGAGAGTGTTCTCTTATTAAACGGGCCATCATACTATGTAAATTACCACGGAAAATATCCAAAAGGCATTCAGCAATCTTAGCAGGGGGCCATTCACATCAAGCAATTACAGCATATTCTATTTTAACTGCCATGGTCTTCCATAATCCCATTTTATTGAATCCTGGGGTTCATTGTTTAGTAACACAGTAATGTGCTTTGGCTGAGAACTCAAAATGCTCCTTCCTAGACTGTAACAAGCAGAATGATGTAGCTGTTTGAGCATTGGGTTACAACCTGTTGCCTAGGGTTTGAGTTTTGCTCCACCACAGAAACTCTGAATAACCTTGGGCAAGCCACATTCTCTCGGCCTCAGATGAAAGTAAATGTAAACCTCCACTGAACAAATCTAGCCAAGAAAAGCCTATATTTTAGGGCAGTGGTTCTCAATCTGTGGGTCCCCAGATGTTTTGGCCTTCATCTCCCAGAAATCCTAACAGCTGGAAAACTGGCTAGGATTTCTGGGCATTTTAGGCCAAAACACCTAGGGACCCACACATTGGGAACCACTGCTTAGGTTCACCATGGGTTGGAAATGATTTGAATGCACACAACAAAAATAACAGCAGCAGCAACAACAACAAACAGGCAAAGGATTCAAAAGGTTGGAACATGGAACCATGACCATTACAGTAGAGTAATAATTATTTATTTACAACATTTGTATCCCACCCATATCAGCCCGAAGGCGACAATAGTGCCATAATTCTGTAATGTCAATGGACCTAGTTTCAAAGAGCACGAAGACATTATTCTTAAAATAGTGTGTTCAATACTTGTGCTATATGCCCCTACCTATAAGCCATAAAAAATAGACGTGCTGTTAAAATATGCTTTGGCAACCGTGAGCACTGAGCAATGGCAATAGTCATGTCACTGCTTTCTTGGCTCTCTGTTGGCACAGCTGTTTTGATCTCCAGTGTCAAAGACCAAGCAAAATGGGCAGTCAGATTTGTTCTTTACTGAAACTGCAAATGTGGACCCCGCTGATACAGAGGACCAACTGTACTAGCACCTAAGGAGGAAGTTACCACATTTACTCAAATCTCATGCTCACCTTTGGGAGCGGGGGGGGGGGGGGGGGGCTAAATTACATTTGATGGTGGGTTAGAATCATGCAAGTAAACCCACCTGCACTCCTCCCCGTGATGACAAGGTTAGCAAATTCACTAGCCTCAGCCTGATGAAGGAGCACAGCTTCCCAATTGGCCTCATTCACAAGGCCTTCAAATCTCCCCTTTGGTTTTGAAGGCCTCCCAAATGAGGCCTTAGTTGGAAAGTTGCTGCTCAGACTGATGGAGGAGCATGGCTTCCCCTTGCCTGTTGGCCATGTGCAAGAAGTTGTGTATTACAGTCAACATTTTTTTTGCAATACGCATCTTCAAAATTGAGGGTCACATTACAATCAGTGGTATACTTGAGTAAATACAGTAATTGTATGGATGTCAAACAGCACCAAGTGAGGATTGAAATATTTCCTCACTCGCTTTAGAGAAACCTCTAAAGCTGCTATTTGCACATAGGAAGGAAACCTGCCACAGAGTCCATTGGGGATTTCCTACTAACATAAAATGCAATTTCAGAGAGGGATGGAAGCAAGGGGTTAAATCTTCTCCATTTCTTCATGCTATTACAATAATTATAGACTCCTTTCAATTTTAGAATATACACTCACAAAGATGCAATACGGTTTGCCGCAGAGGTGAGGAGAGGTGGCTACTTCAAGCAGTAGAATGAAAACAAAAGCCAGCAGCTTAGGACCATAGCACTCATCTTCACTGCAGACTAGGGATGTCGTTCTTCAAGTATTTTCTCAAAGGAAGAAAAGCATAATTTGACCTATTTGTTTCCTGCAAGAAAATCTTTGAAAACTATCAAGTTTCCGAAGGATATTCGCAATTATGGGCTTATGTGTAAAGCATGTCTGTGGCCACAGGAAAAAAAACCAGTTTCTGTACAAAAAACTTCATTTCCTATGCAGAAATTTATATTTCCACACATCAATAAATATTTTCTGCACAAAAAGCTGTGCAAAACCACCATGTACAACATGTCATGCCAAATAAAGAGTCAAACTGCACAACAGTCCCATCAGTCCAGGATACTCCTTGTCAGAGTTTCTCTACACTCAAAAATATGTTTTTCATGTATCTGTCCTTGGTCTGTTCTGTTTTTGTCTGAATAACAAGAGAACTGCACTGGGTGATGGCTATTGTTTTTCCCCACCCAAATTCCAGCACATTGTAGGAGTGGAGGTGGAAATGTAACCCTTCTCTCCCACTGTGCACTAGGTCCAACTTGGGGAAACAAAAAATGGTCTCCAGCGCAGCAATGAAATCATCTAAGGGGCACATTCTGGAGAAACAGAGTGGTGATGAGACAGACCTCTATGGACAGATGTACGTGGATCTACTAACCAACTTTGCTGCCTTTATGACGACACAATGCATTCACCAGTGTTCAACTCTAAGTTTCTGAAAACATCATGAGGGGCACCACTTTCTATTTTGCGTGATTCAGCAAAGTATTTTGGGATGCCTTTAACATCTATGGTAATTTGATCCTGGGTTCGTAAGTTGCACTGAGTAAGCTTAGCTCATCAATATGCAATAGCTGACAAACAGACCGATAGCAGTATATTAAAGATCATTAACCTTAAACTTTACTTCTATGGCTTGTTGTTGTGTGCTTTCAAGTGTTTTCCAACTTGCAAAGGATTTCTGGAAAGACCTGAAAACTTCGATGTTCCAATGTGCCTTCGAATAATGGTTAAGCTATTGTTCAATTGGTTCAGCTACTGTACAAGTTTGCCTAGCCCTTATCTTTTGATGGGATCTCCAGCACTTTATATCCAGACCCACCCTTACAGTTTGCATTTGCACTAGTCCTTGCCCAGCCCTATTAGTCTCAAATCTACACTTTTATTGACTATAGGTTGTTTGTTGCTTGACTTGTTTTAAGCTGTCTTGCATTTTATTGGTTTTATTGTTTTAATATAGTTGATTGTTATATGTTTTTAATTGTGTTACTTTGTAACCTTTGTTTTTATTGGGCTTGGTCCCCATGTAAGCTGCCCTGAGTCCCTTCTGGAAGGTGGAGGCGGGATATAAGAATAAAATTGTTGTTGTTGTTGTTGTTGTTATTTTCTTGGCAAAAATGTGATTGCCTTCTTCTGAGGATGAGGGAATGTAACTTGCCCAAGATCACCCAGCGCGCTTCCATAACCAAACAAGAGTTTCAAATCCTGGTCTCCAGAATTGTAGTCCAATATTCAAACTATTGAAGCTGCAGTGGGTTAAACTGCTAAGTTGCTGAACTTGCTTACCAAAAGGTCGCAGGTTCAAATCTGAGGAGCAGTGTGAGCTCCCACTGTTAGCCCCAGTTTCTGCCAACCTAGGAAATCAAAAACATGCAAATGTGAGTAGATCAATAAGTACCACTCTAGCGGGAAGGTTATGGTGTTCCATGCAGTCATGCCGGCCACATAACCTTGGAGCTGTCTACGGACAAAGCCGGCTCTTCAGCTTAGAAATGGAGATGAGCACCAACCCACAGAGTCGGATACGACTGGACTTAATGTCAGGGGAAAACCTTTATATGAAATACACTTTTCATATTTTAAATGTTTCCCTTTCATGTTACTATTAGAATTGCCTTAATTTTTTTTTTAAAATGCAGAACGTACCATTTGGAAGACCAGGTACACAATATACAGTACATATAGCTGTGCATAAGGAAACAGAGGGGAAATTAAATTAAATGAAGAGAGTACTAACAATGATAATTACTTTGCTAATAATGGCTATTCACAAGCTATTGCTCCTGATAAGGCAGGCATCCTGGCACTAAATAAGTTGATTAGCACATCTAAGTGATAAGAAACCTTTATCTCAGTTCAAGCCTTTGCAGATACAAGGGTATGTCTTCATGTAATCAGCTGTTTTTCGTTCTCATCACCTTTAGATGTTTCTTGGCTTATTTAGTGCCAGGATGCGTGTGCAGCCAGCAACAATTATGAATGGGCAGTGATAATTATGTAGTGATACTATATTTTCTACCTTTAATTATGCTCCAAACCTCACTCTCTGCAATTGTGCCCTCCCAGTCATAAATACCTATGCCATAATGAATGTATTGATATTTGATGAGCCACAAGACTTTTTGTAGTTTTTGCTATAACAGAGTTAATAGTACCCACGGTTCTGGAAATTCCCCTTGAAAGCCCTCATTATTCCTTGCCACTTCTATAAAAAAATTGTGAATGATCAGAATTAGAAAGTATCATAACAGTCTGGTTTTTATTTTAAACAGATCCACCAACATTGTAGAATGGTATGAATCACTGAAGAACTTCAATGCATGGAAAGCATTAATAAAACAACTGGTCACCCTTTGGAATTCACACCATTATACCTGTGGTTTTGTTGCTATTGAACCAACACTAATAGATTACATTTTTAAAAAATTCAAAATATATTATTTAAATCCTAATCCTGGCTAGTAAACATGGTTGTTAAATGTCCGTGTGTTTACATTTTGCTTTTACAGTCATAAGACACTTTTAAAGCAATGATAAATCACTCCAGAAAACTGTATTTCTGTGATCAATGGAAGAACGACACTGTTCACATCTTCAAATGCTTCCCTTTTGGTTATTACAATGCTGCTGATCAAGCCCATTTATTCCACCCAATTCTGGCTCTTTTTCCTGCATACACTGTGTCCTTTAAATTAGAAATGTGTCCAGAGGTGACTAAAATGATCACGGGTCTGGAGAACAAGCCCTATGAGGAGTGGCTTAAAAAGCTGGGCATGATTAGCTTGCAGAAGAGAAGTCTGAGAGGAGACATGATGACGGTCATGGATCAAGAGGTGAGGGGAAGTCATTGGGAGGAGGGAGCAAGCTTGTTTTCTGCTGCCATGGAGACTAGGACACAATGGAACAACG